TTCACCCAGGATATACACATACATATATATAACATACATATATACAACTGATTCACTTTGTGTATGCCTGAAACTTAAAACAACATCATAAATGAACTATACTCCAATGATATATTAAAAATAAATAAATTTTAAAGAAGAGACCATGACACCAGCCCTACGTTTTCAGGTGACCTTCCTAGGAGGTGATAGATGCTGCTGTTTAGTTGCTAAGTTGTGTTCGACTCTTTTGCGACCCCATGGACTGTATGTCGGAGAAGGCAATGGCACCCCACTCCAGTACCCTTGCCTGGAAAATCCCATGGACGGAGGAGCCTGGTAGGTGGCAGTCCATGGGGTTGCAAAGAGTTGGACACGACTGAGTGACTTCACTTTCACTTTTCACTTTCATGCATTGGAGAAGGAAATGGCAACCCACTCCAGTGTTCTAGCCTGGAGAATCCCAGGGATGGGGGAGCCTGGTGGGCTGCCGTCTATGGGGTCTCACAGAGTCGGACACGACTGAAGCGACTTAGCAGTAGCAGCAGCAGCAGCAGAACTGTATGTAGCCCACAGGGATAGCTCCTCTATCCATGGGATTTTCCCAGGCAGGAATACTGGAGTGTGTTGCTGTTTCCTTCTCCAGAGGATCTTCCTGGCCCAGGGATCGAACCCACATCTCCTGTGGCTCCTGCACTGCAGGCAGATTCTTTATGACTGAGCCACCTGGGAAGGACAGGAGGTGAAAGGTCTATGCATAGAGCCATCTGAGGAGTTCAGCTCATGGCTACAAACCTACAGGTGGTTTTTCAGACCTGATCATAGGCAAACTCGAAAGCTTTCCTTGGCTGGCTTCATGGGGATGTCTGTGCACTGCAGCCTCTGAAAGGAGTTGCGGTGAAGGACTCGGACTGCTCTGGCCTGTCACACTCTTCACATTTTTGCATTCTGAGCTCAGAGGATTTCATTCTTGGTCTCTTTATCTGAAGCCTTGGGCAGAGGTCTTCAGGCACCTCTTCTGAGGCCTCCTAATGCGGGGGGGTTGGGGGAGAGGAGGAAAACTTGAAGACACTTTGCCCCACTCTGATTCAGGACTCGGTACTTTTCCAGTCCCACCCCCACGCCCCAACCCAGGGTCCATAGATCCACCACAGCTTCTTGCTCTGTTTCCCTGGTATGTGAAGTGACCCCCATGTCTGTTCTGGCCCATCAGACCCCTTGACAAAGGTTCTCCCCTTGGCTCAACTCTAGCCAGGCTCTTCAAGTTCTTTTTTTAAAGAATTAGCCTCCAACTAATAAAAATGAAAAAAAAATAAATGTAATCAAAAACATTAAAAAAACTGATTTATTTTTGGTTGCGCTGGTTCTTCGTTGCCGCGTGAAGGCTTCCTCTCTTTGCAGAGAGCGGGGGTTTCTCTTTATTGCGGTGCACCAGCTCTCACTGTGGCTTCTCTTGTCATGAGCACAGGCGCCAGGCGCGCCGGCTTCAGGAGCCGCAGCACGAGGCCTCAGCAGTTGTGGCTCGCGGGCTCCAGAGTCCAGGCTCGGTAGCTGGGGTGCACGGGCTTTCATTGCCCTGCAGCACGTGTAATCTTCCGGGACCAGGGATCAAACACATGTCCCCTGCACTGGCGGGTGGATTCTTACTCACTGTGCCACCAGGGAAGTCAGTGTAACCCACGTCCCTTACCCTCCATATCTGATGGGCTTCCTCATCCTCCAGCACCCCCGAGCTGCTGTCTGGTCACCCTGTCCTGCCTTCACCAAGAAGCCTGGTGGGTCGGTTTAGCCAGAAGCCCCCTTTCCCTCAATGTTTCCTTTCAGTAATTTTCCATCTGCTGACCCCTCACCCTCCTCTTTGGCAATAAATCCCCAGTCTTCCTCATCATTGTCAGAGCTGAGCCTGGTCTCTTTTCCCCTGCAGCAAACCCCATTGCGGGGGTCCCTGAACCTATGACAACAGTCCTGACTGAAGTCTGCTTCATGGTTCCTTAAGTGTCATGAGCAGAAACAGAGACACAAACAGAAGGAACAAATGTGTGGTTGCCAAGGGGTGAAGGGTGGGTGGTGGGATGAACTGGGAGATTGGGATTCACCTGTATATACTACGATGTGTCAGGTTTCCTGGTGGTGCTAGTGGTAAAGAACAAACCTGCCAACGCAGGAGATGTAAGAGATGCAGGTTTGATCCTTGGGTTAGGAAGATCCCCTGGAGAGAGGGCATGGCCACCCACTCTGGTATTGTTGCCTGGAGAATCCCATGGACAGAGGAGCCTGGTGGGGTCCATGGGGTCACAGAGAATCGGATGGGATTGAGCACCTAAACAACAACAGTGTATAAAACAAATAACTAAGGAGAATTTATTGTACAGCACAGGGAACTCTACTTTCTGCTCTGTGGTGACCTAAATGGGAAGGAAATTCAAAGAGAGGGGACATATGTGTACATATGGTTCATCCGCTTTGCTGGGCAGCAGAAACAGACACAGAAGTGTAAAACAACTATACTCCAATAAAGAAAATAAAATAAAAATGAAAATAAGAAGTGCCAAGAATAATTTTTTTCCCTTAACAATTAGAATCACATATTTTTCTTTAACACCTCTACAACCATTCCAGAACATGGGAGGCACTGCTTTTTCCATTTAGACTGTTGCTTATATCATCACAGTAGGCGATTAAAGGGTTAATTGTTACTTTCATTTTGACTCAACTGCTCTAAGCAGCTCCCTCTGACGCTAGCAGCTCAGGCTGTCTCTCCCCAATTGGCTGAGCTCCTGGCCCTAGTCAGGTTCAGCATACCTTCTCGGTGTTTGTCAGGACACCCGGGTCCCTGAGGAGGGGCCTAGTCACAGCGCCTGTAGGATGTGATGCTTGGCCAGAAGCCTGGCCCGAGAAGGGATAAGAAACCACAACAGTCCCCTCTTACCATGCAGGAGACGTAAGAGATGCAGGTTCGATCCCTGGGTCAGGAAGATCCCCTGGAAGAGGGCATGGCAACCCACTCCAACATTCTTGCCTCGACACCCTTCTGCAGATCCAGCCAGAGTTAAAGTCACCATCCCTCCCCATGATTGAAGGAGAAAATACCTTCTAATCTCCATTCCAAATGCTCCAAGAACCTGGGCTATTGGCCCCACCCATGGAAATGGTACAGGTAGGAAGGAAGCGCTCCTCTGGGGCAGTGATGGAGGGGGCTTCCTACTGCTCAGGGCAGAAGTGGGGTCTTCAAGCTTAAAGGGGAGAGGGCTAAAGGCGGTCAGTTGGAGAAGGCCATGGCAACCCACTCCAGTACTCTTGCCTGGAAAATCCCATGGACAGAGGAGCCTGGTGGGCTGCAGTCTGTGGGGTCGCGAAGAATAGGACACGACGGAGCGACTTCACTTTCACTTTTCACTTTCATGCACTGGAGAAGGAAATGGCAACCCACTCCGGTGTTCTTGCCTGGAGAATCCCAGGGACGACGGAGCCTGGTGGGCTGCCATCTATGGGGTCGCACAGAGTCGGACATGACTGAAGCAACTTAGCAGCAGCAGTAGCAAAGGCGGTCAGTGGGATTCCACATCGCCCGCCCCACCCCAGCCCGCATTCGCCTCACCTCTGCTCCCGGCTGTCTGGCTGCCATCCCCTCTCTCCCCTCCCTGGCAAAACTCTCACCTGGGTCACCAGTAACCACCTGTTCTCTTCCCGAACAGGCCATCTCAATCACCACTACCAGCTCTCCCTACATCCCACAGGTAAGCTTAATCGGGGACATACGGGCATGCCGGTTCCCACTGCCCCGCCCAGGGCCCTCTGCCCCCGCTCCGTGAGTGTGTCTGTGTGTCCACCTCCAGGGGCAGCTCTGCTACCTTCTCAGCCCCCGTCTGCCCAGCCTAGACCTGCACATTTATCCTGCTCTTGGCGGTGGCACTTCCATCCCCCGCCCCCCAGTAGCTGGAGTCAGCACTCAGTGAGTCACTCTAGACGTCTCTCTCTCCCCCCGGTCCCCCACACCTCCCCTCAAATCTCACTTCCTCAAAATGTCTTCAGTGGCGTCTCTCTTCCATCACCCAGGCTGCTGTCTCCCCGCAGGCATGGTTCTCTTCTTCCCAATCACAGAAGCTTCCTCTTGGCCTCCAGCCTCTCCCTTCCAGCTGTTCCCTACACTGGCTTCAGCGAGATCATGTGATACCTCTATGACTCTGTCCCGCTTCTGCTCAAGAACCTTCTGTGGCTCCCGGTTGCCCTTAAATAAAGCTCAGGTTTGTTTGTCTTCCGCCACTGTTTGAGCTAGTCGAGGGTGAAGACTGATTCAAACCTGTCTTTTTTGTTTAGGAAAAAACCATTTTGGCCATGTTGGGTCTTAGCAGCGGCACACAGGCTCTTTCGTGTGGCCCACAGGCTTCTCTCTAGTTGGGGCACACAGGCTCCAGGGCGCACAGGCTTCAGTAGTTGCGGCACGTGGGCTCGGCTGCCCCAGGCCTGTGGGATCTTAGTTCCCCAAACAGGGATCAAAGCCACATCCCCTGTGGTGCAAGGTGGATTCTTAACCACCGGACCACCAGGGAAGTCGCCAAATCTGTCCTGTTCTATGTCAGTTTGTGAATGAATGAATGAATGAATCAAGTAAAGGCATGTGTTGCTTCTCTTGCCTCACCCACACCTTCTCCTGCCCCTGGTGCCCATATAGGATATCTCCAGTTCATCCCGAACAGGCCGCCTCCACGAGGATTCCCCAGGCCATGACTCTCGGGGAGCTGCATAGGGGAGCCCCCTTATCCAGGGCAGAAAACAGGGCAGGAGCCCAGGAGGCAGGACTCCGGGGCTCCCATCCTTCCTTCCTGCCTCACTCAGGCAAGCCCCTTGCCCCCTCTGGTCCTCAGGGGTCACCTTCCAATATGCAGAAATGGCAGAATGATCTCGGCGGGGCCAACCACTGCTGACTCTCTAAGCCTGAAGTTTCCTCTTAGGGGCTTGTGGCCTGGTTATCTCACCGCAGCTTCCTGTCTGAGCTTCCTCCGCCCTCCCGTTATCTGCAGCTTGGCCTTCTCTTTCAGAAGGATCCGGAAGGTGGATCCTGCCCCAGGGGACATCAGGAAGGGATGCGGCTGTTGCTGCTGCTGCTGCTGCTCGTGCTGTGGGGAGGTGAGTGGGCCAAGGGCACGGGGAACCCCCCCCCGACACACACACACACACACACACACACACACACACACACACACACACACTGGGGCGAGGCACTGGAGCTCCAGGCTGACTTTCTCCCTCTGCCCAGCACCCCTAGTTCAGCGCCTGGAACTGCAGCAGAATGTGACTGTGCTGGAGGGCCTGTGCGTCCTCCTACCCTGCACCTTTCCCCATCCCCGGGTTTCCTTTGGAAAGATCTACATGTTTTGGTTCCGGGAAGTGGCAGATACAAAACGCGATCCCCTGGTGGCCACGAACAAGCCGGAACAGAAGCTGCGTGAGGGGACCCAGGGGCGATTCTCCCTCCCCGGGGAGCCCCAGGCCAGAAACTGCAGCCTGAGCATCACTGATGTCAACGCAGGGGACAGCGGGACATACTTCTTTCGAGTCGAGACACACTTCAGAAAGTTCCCATATCTAAACAAGATGTTCTTTCTGAACGTGACAGGTATGGTAGGGGGCTCAGGGAAAGAAAGGGGCACCGGAAACCAGGGCTGGGGTGGGGACCCTGGGGCAGGCTAACAACATGCCAAGGGGGCCCCATCCTCTCTGCCCTCACCAGCGCTCACCCACCAGCCCCATGTCCTCAGCCCGGGGGCCCTGGAGCCCGGCCGCCCCGGGAACCTGACCTCCTCCGTGCCCTGGGCCTGTGAGCTGGCCACGCCCCCCATCTTCTCCTGGACGTCAGCTGCACCAGCTCCCTGGGCCCCAGGACCCCCTTCTCGTCGGGGCTCACCCTCACCCCACGGCCCCAGGACCACAGCACCAGGCTCACCTGCCAGGTGAAGTTCCCCAGAAGCGGGGCGATGGTGGAGCGGACCATCCTGCTCAATGTCGCCTGTGAGTGAGGGGTGAGGATGCCCGGGGGCCTGAGGGTGTGGGGGCAGGGGGAGCTGGGGTGGGGCCTGACATCCGGGTCTTGCAGCTCAGCGGTTGTTTCCATGGCACCAGTGCCCGCCCAGTCCCTGCCACGAATGTTGATCCTGCTTAACCTTCTGTCACAGATGCTCCACAGCACGTGGCCATCAGCATCTTCCAAGGAAACAGGACAGGTAGGAAGAAACCTCTCCCCTCCAGAGTGGGGACAGAACCCAGGTCTCTGCCAGGACAGAGTTTCGTTGGACCTCAGAGGACTTTTTGCTCAGTCCTGTTAGACTCTTTGCGACCCCATGGACTGTAGCCCGCCAGGCTCCTCTGTCCATGAGATTTCGCAGGCAAGAATGCTTGGAGTAGGTTGCCATTTCCTTCTCCAGGGGATCTTCCCCACCCAGGGATCGAACCCATGACTCCTGCGTCTCCTGCATTGACAGGCGGATTCTTTACAACTAGTGCCACCTGGGAAGCCCCCTCAGAGGACTAACTGGAACATATTTGAGGGCCCAGCTATTGAGATCAGACACAGGGAGAGTGGGGGGGGGGGGGCGGTGGGCGGAGACGGGGAGTGGAATCCCAAAAGCTCAGCTCCCAGAAGTTAACCTTCAGCTCACCCAGGGCTTTCTTTGGCTAAATTCAAAGGAAGCTGTCACATTCCTTTTGCTTTCTCTCTGATGTTTGTTTTTTTTGGGGGGGGGGGGGAGTGGGTGGGTGTCAGCAGTTGGCCATACAATGCAGCATGCAGGATCTTAGTTCCCTAACCAGGGATGGAACCCGTGTCCCCTGCAGTGGAAGTGTGGAGTCCTAACCACTGGACCACCAAGGAAATCCCTCTCTGATGTTTTATCGCCTGCTGTTTTCTCTTCTTTGGCCCATAACTACGTTTGCTCACTGTATACTTGTCCACCAGGTCTTCCCTGGTGGCTCAGTGGTAAAGAACCTGCCCACAATACGGGAGACCCGGGTCCGATTCCTGGGTCAGGAAGAGTCCCTGGCGGAGGGCATGGCAACCCCTTCCAGTATTCTTGCCTGGAGGGCTACAGTCCATGGGGTCACAAAGGGTTGAGCACGACTGACTGTCTCAAGCATACACATCCTTGTCCTGTGCCCTCTGTGCCCCATCTGATGGACAGCCTGGGCAGCTCCAGGGAAACTGCTGGGGCTTCTTCTGAATGCCTGTGGTTCAGACTCTGCCAGTCCCCTCCCCAGAGCTAGTGTGGACATCGCAGGAGGAGAGAGGTGCCAGCTTTGCCCAGCCCATCTCTCTGTCTCTCTGCCCTTCTCTTCCCCCGAAGCCCTCAAGATTCTGCAGAACACCTCGTCCCTTCCCGTCCAGGAGGGCCAGGCGCTGCGGCTGCTGTGTGTTGCTGACAGCAACCCCCCTGCACAGCTGAGCTGGTTCCGGGGGTCTCCCGCCCTGGAGGTCACCCCCATCTCCAGCGCTGGGGTCCTGGAGCTGCCTCGTGTAGGGGCAGCAGAAGAAGAAGTGTTCACCTGCCAGGCTCAGAACCCGCTGGGCTCCCAAAATATCTCCCTGAGCCTCTCCATGGTCTGTGAGTGTGGGGGCCCCTGGGGACAGGATCCCGGGGTTCCAGGGAGGGGAGAGGTGCCCCTGATCCCTCCCATGTCTCCCCACAGCTCCCCCCCCGCAGCTGCTGGGCCCCTCCTGCTCCCAGGAGGGCGAGGGTCTGCGCTTCAGCTGCTCCTCCCGAGCCCGGCCGGCCCCCTCCCTGTGCTGGCAGCTGGGCGAGGGGCTGCTGGAGGGGAACTTCAGCAATGCCTCAGCTGTGAGGCCCTGAATGCCCACGGGGCCCAGAGCGGGTCTGTCCTGCTGCTGCCAGGTCAGGGGTCTGCCGAGGGCTGATGCCCGAGAAAAGAGGAGCCTGGATCCTTGTATGAGTCTGCTAGGGCAGCCAGAACAAACCACCTCCAACTGGGGGCTTAAGCAGATACACCTCCGGTGCTGGCGGCTGGAAGCTTGGGATCAAGGTGTCAGCAGGGTTGACTCCAACCCAGGCTGTGAGAATTGTTCCAGGACTCTCCCTGTGGCTTCTGGCAGTTTTGCTGGCAACCTTTGGTGTTCCTTGGCTCGTAGGAGCATCACCCCCATCTCTGCTTTCATGTTTGTGGCTGTGAGTGCTCAGTCACTTCAGTTGTGTCCGACTCTTTGTGACCCCATGGACTTCAGCCCTCCAGGCTCCCCTGTCCACGGGATTCTCCAGGCGAGAATACTGGGGTGTGTTGCCATACCCTCCTCCAGCGGAATCTTCCTAACCCAGGGATCGAACCCACAGCACCCACCCCCACCCCACCCCACCCCCGCAGCTGCTGGATCCCAGGAGGATGAGGGTATCCTGCATTGGGGGGCAGGTTCTTTTTCATTAATGCCATCTGGGAAGCCTCCCCATCCTCGCTTTTATGTTTACATAGAACATAAAAGCCTGCATGTGTCTGTGTCCAAATTTCCCCTTTTTAGGATATCAGTCATATTGGATTAGTCCCTGCTGATCTCATGTTTTTTAATTAAACAATTTAGCTCTGGCTGTGCTGGCTCTTCGTTGCTACGGGGGCTTTGTCTAATTGTAGAGAGCGGGGGCTGCTCTTGAGTTGTGGTGCTCATTGTGGTGGTTTCTCTTGTTGCAGAGCACGGGCTCTAGGGAGCAAGGGCTTCTTCAGTCATTACAGCCTGGCTCTAGAGGACAGACTCAATAGTTGTGGTGCAGGGGCTTAGCTGCTCTGAGGCATGTGAGATCTTCCTGGACCAGGGATCGAACCTGTGTCTCCCGCATTGGCTGGCAGACTCCTTCCCACTGAGCCACCGGGAGGCCCTGCTGGGCCTTCATTTTAATTTAATTACCTCAGTAAAGATCTCCTTTCCAAATAAGGTGACATTCTGAGTGACTAGGGATGAGGGGACTTGAACACATGAACTTGGGGGAGGGAAACACAAGTCAACTCAAACAGCCCCAGAGGGATGGAGCTCGGAGAAGGGGTACCCCGGGGCCCCAGCTGGCGTGGTTGGTGGTGGAAGATTCTCAGTCCTGAGTCCAGGGGAAGGGGCCGGCCCCAGGGTCTACAGGGCGATGGGAACGTCCAGTGACCGAGTCTTGGATGGGAAGTCAAGGGGCACGCGGGTACACTAACAGAACACAGAGAGGGGTGGCCTGTTGGGAAGATGCCATGTAATGGGGTTGGAGTTGAAACAAGATTCAAATTGTCTACAGGTAAACCACAGCCCAGGGCCGGCAAGGTCCTGGGAGCAGTCGGGGGAGCTAGCGTCACAGTCCTGCTTTCTCTCTGCCTGTATCTCCTCTTCAGGTGAGGGGGGGCTCCAGGGTGGGGGGAGAAGCCCAGGGTGGGAAGGGCTCAGGGTCCTGGAATCTCAGAAGACCTGAGCCGGAGGACCGGGGACTGGTTGGAAAGCCCCCAGGCAGAGAAGGAAGGCTGAGTGATGGTGTGAATCAGCCCGTAAGCAACTGGACCAAGCCTGGGGGTTTCTTCCCCAGCCCCAGTCCAGCTCCTGGGTTGTCCAGGTGGGAGCACCTGGGTGCTGGGTCCGCTGCCACCACCTCTCTCATTCCATGCTCTTCATAGAGGGGATGGTCTGCCTACCCCGTGCCTCAGATTAGCAGGCTGAAATGCCTGGGGCTGTTCCCTTAGAGTGAAGACCCACAGAAAGACCCAGCCGGTGCAAAGCATGGATGACACGAACCACGCCATGGGCTCCAGCTCCAGGGTGAGTAATGGGGCGGGCGGTCACATTCAGCTTATCCCTTGTGGGCGGTACCCCTGGTCCGAGCCCTTGGCATTTCCCTGCTAACATCCATCACTCCCTGGAATTCCACATGGGGTTGTTTAAAACTACTGATTCAACTGCTCTAGCACGGCTGCTCCTGATGAAATATGTAGATAGTTTAGTTGGTTGGTTCTGGGGTATTTTGCTTGGTATATCAGATTATCATATTCTCCTAGGGCTTTAGCCTTTTCTTCTTACATTGATTATGGGGAAGAGAATTGGTCCAAACCTAGTCTGTGTCAGACTCACTGAGGACAAGGAAGTAGGATAGAGAGCTTGACGCATCCTAGCGTCACAACTTATCACTCCTGATCTGTATCTTTCAAATCTACCACCCTGTTGTTTACTATCAACTTTAATGAGGTGTTGTTGTTGTGTAGTCGCAAAGTCGTGTCCGACTCTTTTGCGACCCCATGGACCGTAGTTCACCAGGCTCCTCTGTCCATGGGATTCTCCAGGCAAGAATACTGGGGTGGGTTGCCATTTCCCTCTCCAGCGGATCTTCCCCACCCAGGGATCGAACCCATGTCCCCTGCAATGGCAGGCAGATTCTTTACCACTGAGTCACCAGGGAAGCCCATATTGAGGTATTTACACAGTTTAAGTATGAAGTTAAACAAACTTTGACAAACGCATACCTCCTGTAACCATGTCCCCAGTCAAGATAGGGAACACTTCCATCAGGGCCCCAAATTCTTTTATTCCCCTTCTCATTCACCCCCACCCCTTTCCAGCAATCACTGATTTCTACAATTATTGATTCATTTTGTCCATTCTTGAATGTCATATAAATGGACTCATGTGATGCTCACTCTCTATATATGGCCTCTAGTGTTTTATTAAAAGATGTAAAATCCTAAGTGTAGATGCCCCCAATAATGGAGCATTGTCTCAAAATAAATCAACAAACACAGAGTTGCAAGGAGAAATAGGCACATCCACAGTTAGAGTTGATTATCTCAAAACTCCTCTCTCAGGAACTGGCAGAACTAGAAGACAGAAAATCAGGTTTTAAATTTAATTTACGTATTTCCCCCTGCAGTTTCTTCTTGGTTGATCTTGGGTAATGGAATCCTTAGTGTGTGTTCAATCCCCATCTTGTCAGAAATCATGAGACATCTTTTCTGTTATGTTACTTTCAAATTTTCAGTAACCTTCTTTTTATCTTTTTTTAATGAGTGTCTCTTTGAGTCAGTATAGCATCATGGTTCAAAACATGTACTCTGGAACTGGACTGCTTGCATTCAAATCCTATCTTATTTACAAGGTGTGTGACCTTGGACAAATAATGTGCTCTCTCTGGCCTCTATTTATTTTCTGTGACATAGGAATATTATTAATATTGGGACTTCCCTAGTGGTCCAGTGGTTAAGACTTATTGTAACAAGGCAAGAATACTGGAGTGGGTAGCCATTTGCTTCTCCAGGGGATCTTCCTGACCCAGGAATCAAACCCAGATCTCCCTCACTGCATGCAGATTCTATACCATCTGAGCCACCAGGGAAGCTCAGAGTAGTTATGAGGTATGATTAGAAGAGTCCCTGGCATGGATGAAGCAAGTCCTCCTGATAACTGATCAGAACCTTTCCCTCCTCGAGTAAGTCCCAAAGGCAGCTTGTTGCTGTTGTTATCACTTTGTTCTCTGTTGTCTTCCCAACACCTAGAGGAATGCCTAGCTCGTAACTCACAGTAGATGCACAATATTTCTGGAATAAATCATTGATTCACCATGTTGCTGAATCTCATTTGCTAATAAAATTCTCTGTCTCTGTCTTTTGATTGGTGAGATTCATCCATATACAAATACTTCAGTCATAGTTATTAACAGACACGTTTTTTTCCTTTCTGTGTTTTGGCTATAGTAGATTTAAACTATTAACTTACTTATTTTCACCTTGCTTTTCCTTAATATGGGCAGCCTTCTCTCTATCTTCTAAAATAGCCATTTTCAGGGGAATTCCCTAGTGGTCCAGTGGTTAGGATTTGGCACTTTCACTGCAGGGGAGCCTGGGTTTGACTCCTGGTCAGAAACTAAAATCCTGCAAGCTGTGTGGCGTGGCCAAAAAAATAAAGTAAAATAACCATTTTCTCGGACTTCTCAGGTGGCTCAGCTGGTAAAGAATCCACCTGCAATGTGGGAGACTTGGGTTCAATCCCCGGGTTGGGAAGATCCCCTGGAGAAGGGAACGGCTACCCACTCTGGTATTCCAGCCTGGAGAATTCCATGGATTATAGTCCATGGGGTCGCAAAGAGTTGGACACAACTGAGCGACTTTCACTTTCCTAGGTGGCTCAGTGGTAGAGAATCTGCCTGCGAGTGCAGGAGATACAGGTTCAATGCCTAGGTCAGGAAGATCCCCTGGAGGAGGAAAGGGCAATCCACTCCACTCTTCTTGCCTGGAAAATCCCATGGACAGAGGAGCCTGGTGGGCTACAGTTCATAGGGTCACAAAAGAGTCAAGACTTAGTGACTAAACAACAACAGCAACCATTTTCTCCTAATCCGAGGACGATCTGTCTGCCTCTCTTCACTACTGTTCCAGGGTTTCTATTTCCCGCTTGCCGCAAAGAGTCGGACATGACTGAGTGACTGAACTGAACTGAACTGATAGCCTGAGGGTGTTGCAGGCAGGCAGCAAATATGAGTGAGGGTATCTGGTTACCATTTTTATTGCAGGATCTGATCTCTACTCTGTCTTCTAGAACCTGCCCACCCCCGCCCTTGCTTTATATTTCAAAGTATCTCCTATCAAATTTAGATCTTGAGATATATTTGTCTATTAACTGCCTCTCCTAGAAAACCATAAGCAGGATTTCCCTGTGGTCCAATGCTTAAGACTCCAAGCTTCCATGGCAGGAGGCATCTGTTTGATCCTTGGTCAGGGAACTAAGATTTTGCAAGCTGTGTGGTTTGGCTAAAACAAACAAAACCACCCCCTCAAAAGAAAAAAAAAAAAAACCACATAAAACCACACACTGCATAATATGAGGGACTATGTCTGCTTTTTCCATCACTCCACACACAGCACCTCCTACACACACAGCCTGAACAAAGGACAGCACTGTAGTTGGAAAGAACTGGTTTCGAGTCCTGGCTCAGGGATGCATCTATAGGTGTGTGTCTTCAGGAAAACAATTTGTATAATCTCTCTTAGCCCTAGTTTTACTATTTCTAAGACACATATGACAATAGTATTCTCTCCTAGCATTTTTAAAGAATATAATGTGATCCATGTAAATACTCACGAAGGGCTGGTCAATCTGAATTATCTATGTTTGAACAAATCAATGGGCAAGTGGTGAAAATTCTGTCAGTTCCAATTCCATTCCATTGTCTTTGACTCCATAGTTCTCCCAGACCCTGTTGCCTGGATCTGAATCCTTTCTTCTCCTCCTTCCTCTCAGGAACGCCAGCCCCAGTTCTGGACAGACACCCCTGCAGACCACCCCGCCCCCGCTGGGGCTGGCCCCATCTCAAGAAATGAACAAGAGCCTCACTATGCTTTCCTCCGATTTCACAAGCCGAAGCCTCAGAAACAGGAAGGCACTCACACTGAATACTCAGAGATCAAGATACACAAGTGAGGAATTCTTTTCTCATGGTCTGGAGCCTGGAAGTCTTAGATCAAGGTGTCGGCAGGCTTGGTTCCCTTTGAACCCTCTCTCCTTGGCTTGGAGACAGTTGTCTTCTCCCCATGTCCTCACATGGTCTCCCTGCTGTGTGTTTCTGTGTCCTAATTCATTCTTGTTATAAGAACACGAATTTTCAGCCTGTAACACTCAGCCTCCAATCATTTAAAAACAAATGGCCTTCTTGGCAGTGGTCAGAGTTCCCTGGTATGGGTGGAGGACCATAGGACTTGTGACCAAAAGTTGTTGTTGTTCGGCTCCTAAAATCATGTCCAACTGTTTGCAGTCTCATGAGCTGCAGCACACCAGGCTTCCCTGGCTATCTTCCCTAACCATCTTCTTGAGCTTGCTCAAACTCATGTCCATTGAGTCGTTGATGCCACCCAACCATCTCATCTTCTGTCATCCCCATCTCCTCCTGCCCTCAATCTTTCTCAGCATCAGGGTCTTGTCCATTGAGTCAGCTTTTTGCATCAGGTGACCAAAGTATTGGAGCTTCAGCTTCAGCATCAGTCCTTCCAATGAATATTCAGGGTTGATTTCCTTTAGGATTGACTGAATTGATCTCCTTGCTGTCCAAGGGACTCTCAAGAGTCTTCTCCAGCACCACAGTTCAAAAAGCATTAATTCTTCAGTTCTCTGCCTTCATTATGGTCCAATTGTCACATCTGTACATGACTGCTGGGAAAACCACAGCTTTGACTAGACGGACCTCCGTCCAATCTGCTGCCCAGGAGTGGAGGGCTGTGACCAAAAGAACTGAGTTCAGATTCATTTATGTAACTCATCGAATGAGTCACTTTATCCCTCTATGCCTCACTTTGCTGTTGTGTGAGCAGGGAAACCATTCCTGTCTAGCTAGACTGTTGTGAGAGAGCAATGAAAGTATACACAGAAAACAGGTAATGAGGATCGTGACACAGAGCTTTTTGTGGACTCCAAACACATAAACTTTTTGCTGACAACTTCTAAGGCTTGGAGGGGCCAGTCCCAGAAGTCACAGAACTGGAAATCAGGCAGTGATGGCTGCTCTTACAACTTCTATTAAGCAATATATTATAGATTCTCTCCAGTGCAATAAATGCCAAGAAGCAGAAATAAGAGCTATCCGATTCATAAAAGAAGTAAAACAGTCCTTATTCACAGATGATATAATAATTGTGTGCCTAGAAATTCTAAAGTTATCCACAAAGAAACTGCTAAGACCAAGCATAGAGTTTGTTTTTGTTTAGTTGCTAAGTTGTGTCTGACTCGTTTGTGTCCTGATTGACTGTAGCCCGCCAGGCTCCTCCGTCCATGGGATCTCCCAGGCAAGAAGTGGGTTGCCATTTCCTTCTCCAGGGGATCTTACCAACCCAGGGATCAAACCTGCGTCTCGTGCATTGGCAGGCAGATTCTTTGCCACTGAGCCACCTGGGAAGCCCGGATAGAGTTCAGCCAGGTGTTAAGGTACTTATTCAAATTGCAAAGTTCCTTTGTAATTCTATGTATTGGCCAAAGGCAATTAGAAATTGAATATTTTTTTAAAGATGCAGTTTACAGTTACATGAAACGTAAAATGAACTGAAATGTATGTAAGTCCTGTATATTGAGCACATGCTTTAAGAAATGAAAGAAGACCTAAATAAATGGAGCTATGTACCATGTTCATGGATTGGAAGACTCAATATTGCTAGGAGATCAGATGGATAAATTCAGTGCAATCTCAAATTCTGAGTGAGAGCTTTGGTAGAACTTGATGTGTTGGATTCTAAATTGTACATGGAATATATTGCATCATAGGTCATTAGAGCTGGGAAGGAGCTTAACACGATTTTACACAATCCTCTCATTTGTAGGTGCCCTTGGTGTTACAAAGTCCCAGGCCCTAGAAAGGGGACCACAGATACTTTGAGTATTGAAGAGGAATGCTTTAGTGTATTCTTCAGACCCAGCATACTTTCGTGAGGATTGAATGAGATGTCTTTCATTCTGTTTTCACTCTTTGCATTGTAGTTAAGAAGAGCAGTTCATGGAAAGGAGTACAGTTGGCTTGGGGAGAAGGGAATAGAGAAGCATCTAGGAAAATGGCAGAGGGGATAAAAAGACTCGGTATCTAAGGAAAGGATTGTGCATTATAAACTTAAGACAAAGCAACATGTCTCAGAAAAATAAAGAAAGCAAACAATGGGAATGTCCTAAGACATTATGAAAACCGACAATAAGCCCATTTAATGAGCCTCCTCTTCAATGCCCGTCCTACTTTCCCATCACTTCCCACCCACAAGATTCACAAGAGGAACATCCTTCCCCATATTCAGGAGCAAGACTCTCGCCCAGCAAATCCTGATGGTTCCCAGTGGTGGATGGTTCCCAGTCTGGTCATCCTAATTCTTTGTGTCCTGAGCACCAAAGCCCCCCAGCCCCCACTTTTGCATGAGCAAAGCCGGAGATGCAGGGCAGAGCCTGTCATGTACTGGAACAGTGAGAGGAAGTAACTCTGGGGAAAGGGGGAAGGGCTGTGTGGCAACCAGTCACGGAGGCCATGAGGGCAACTGTGGTAACCCTACAACCCCAACCCACAAAAAAATAACAGCTGCCTCCGAGTGCTCACCATATTCTAGACATTCTGGGTTAAGCACACTCTCCTACTTACTTCTGGTGACCCCCCCACCCTGAGGCTCCTGGTCACACCCCTCCTGCCAACCCCTAGATTTCGTTTCCCGATGCCTCGCCCAGCTCCCTGCCAGAGGGTGAGGAGAACGTCTTGGTATGTCACGTTCACCTTGCTCTCTTCGCTATACATCCCTGTGCTTTCAGAGGAACGAAGGACAGGACAAATGAAGGAAATCTGTCTCCCCATATTGACAAGAAACTGACTAGAACTTAAGGATTCAGAAAGTTTGAAATGAGATGTCAGAAGATACATGGTGCAAGTACTAAGCATGAAACGCTGATGTCGTTATCCTAACGTAAGCTGGAGAAGGTTTTTCGCTGTTGTCGTTCATTTGTTTTGTTTTAGCCATGCTGTGCAGCTTGCAGGGATCTTAGTTTCCCAACTAGGGATTTGAACCCTAGCCCTGGGCAGGGATAATCCTAACCACTGGACCACCAGGGAATTCCCTGGGTGAGTTTTTGATGCCAATGGCATTAAGAAGGAGCACTGCATAAAGAGCAAAGGTTTAGTTCACTGTCCCCCTCAAATATAAAATTCTAAACATGTATGCATCTATAAATGGAGCCTCAAAATACATAAAACAAACATTCACAGAATTACAGTTCCTCTTCACAGGGAGCTCCGAATGCTGGACACTTACTGTGTCTCCACTGGACGGTGCCTCAAGGGTGTGTGACCTCACCACGTGGGCACTGAGGGAGGGTGGACAGTGGACCTCCTCGCCCCCCACCTCCCATGTCCTCAGGTCCCACCCTGGCTGGACCGATCTTCACAAACACCTACTAGCTGTGCCTCAGGGGGTCTGGCCAGAAGGGACTCTTTGTTGCTTTGCAGAAAATGACCCCCGAGGGGAAGGACATTGACAGAGAGGTGGGAGGTGGGGCTCTGGCCCAGCATGGGATGTGAATCTGTGCAAGTCTCTCACCTTCCTTGGCCCAGTGTCCCCAGGAATGGACACAAGGTGGTGGGTGGGTGGTGGATCCCTCAGGGCAGAGGAAGCTCTGCCAACGTTCTCTCACGTGAAGTTCCTCTTCTGACAGAGGTTCCTTCTGACCTCATTCTCGTCTTCCTGCTGTTGTCTCCTCTAGATCTCGCAACTTTCACTTCGATTTCCCGCGAAAGGAACCTTGAGAAAGAGGCTTGCCCTGAGGCAACCTGCCACCGCCAACCACAGACATGCTGCTACTGCCGCTGCTGGTGGCCCTGCTCTGGCGGAGGGAGGCAGCCAGGGGCCAGATGGGGCCTGGGGAGAATTACAAGCTGCAGCTGCCGGAGCTGGTGACAGTGGAGGAGGGCCTGTGCGTCCACGTGCCCTGCTCCTTCTCCTACCCCTGGAATGTCTGGGGCATCTTTACCTCAACTCTGGGCTACTGGTTTCGGGAAGGGGCTGCGACGTCCAAGGATGCTCCCGTGGCTACAAACAACCCAGACCGAGAAGTGCAGGAGGAGACCCAGGGGCGATTCCATCTCCTCGGGGACACCCGGGCCTACAACTGCTCCTTGGAGATCAGAGACGCCAGGAGGAGGGACAACGGTTCCTACTTTTTTCGGATGGAACGAGGAAGTGTGGAAAACAATTACAGGTCTAACCAGCTCTCCTTGCATGTGACACGTAAGGCGGGCTGTCGGGGGAGGTCCAGGAGAGGTCGCAGGGAGGGTCCCAGGGCAGGGCTGGGATGGGAGCCCCTCCTGGGAGGGGGTCTGGGGTCAAGTGGCAGCCCAGGGGGAGAGGCTGGACCGAAGCCTGAGGCTTCTCTGGGGGCTGCACCTCAAACCCTCTTCCCGATACCCTGTGTCCCCCCTCTTCTCACCAGCCCTCAACCACACACCTGACATCCTCATTTCGGGGACCCTGGTGTCCGGCCACCCCGGGAATCTGACCTGCTCTGTGCCCTGGGCCTGTGAGCGGGGCACGCCCCCCATCTTCTCCTGGAAGGGAGCTACCGTCTCTTCCCACGTTCTCACAACAGCCCTCTCCTCGGTGCTCACTCTCACTCCACGGCCCCAGGACCACGGCACCACGCTCACCTGTCAGGTGACCTTGCCTGGAGCTGAAGTGACCACAACGAGGGTCGTCCGCCTCAACGTGTCCTGTGAGTGCTGGGCCAGGATGCCTGGGTCCCTGATGGAGTCCGGAGGGCAGAGGGGAAGGGGGCACCAGGGCCTCAGACATCAGATTCTGGAATCCAGGTTGGGAGGGGTTCAGGAGGACGCCCGCCCCCCCCCACCCTTTCCCCATTTCTGCAGCTCCTGGGGACACTGGGCCCATGTCCACCAAGGCCTCACCATTGACGTGGATCCGCCATGTCTCTCTGTCCCAGACCCACCACAGAACTTGACTGTGACTGTCTTCCAAGGAAACAGCACAGGTATGAAGGAGGGCCCCTCCTGGGCTGTCGGGGGCGAGTCTGCTTCCGGCTCAGGGCTGGGCTGGGCTCTGCTGGTCCCTGTCTCACTCTGGACCCACCCCAGTGACCAGAGCCCCTCAGTGGGTGAGCCCAGTGGTCCCTGCCCCTCCCCTGCCCCCATGGCCACTCTGCCCAGCTGTCCCCACTGGCCCCTCACTCCCCTGGGACTTGTCCACTTCCTCTTCTGCTCCCCAAGAGCAGGGCGACATCCCCAGCGCAGAGTCCACACCTCAAAGCGCCTCACCATCCACAACCTGACTCCTCCAGCTCTGCTGTTTATTTTCTCCCAATAGTTTTACATTAAAAAATTTTTTTAATTTAAATAGTTTTGCATTTTAAATTTTATTTTTGGCTGCACTGGGTCTTTGTTGCTGCACAGCCTTTTCTCTACCTGTGGCGAGCAGGGGCTACTCTCTGCTTTTGGTGTAGGGCTTCTCACTGTGCTGGCTCCTCTTGCTGCAGAGCACTGATTCTAGGTGTGGAGGCTGCAGTAGTTGCAGTACGTGAGCTCAGTAGTTGCGGCTCCTGGGCTCTAGAGCACAGGCTTGGTAGTTGTAGCACACGGGCTTAGTTGCCCTGCAGCATGTGGGATCCTCCCGGACCAGGTATCAAACTCACGTTTCCTGCATTGGCAGGTGGATTCTTCACTGCTGGACCACCAGGGAAGTCCTCTCCCAATAGTTTGTAATTTACATCTATTTTGACAGGTTATGTATTGTTGTTCAGTCGCTCAGTTGTGTCCAACTCTTTGTGACCCCATGAATTGTAGCACGTCAGGCTTCCCTGTCCTTCACTATCTCCTGGAGTTTTCACAAACTTATGTCTATTGAATCAGTGATGCCATCCAACCATCTCATCCTCTGTCACCCCCTTCTCCTCCTGCCTTCAGTCATTCCCAGGTCTTTTCCATTGAATTGGCTCTTTGCATCAGGTGGCCAAAGTATCGGAGCTTCAGCTTCAGCATCAGTCCTTCCAATGAATATTCAGGGTTGGTTTCCTTTAGGATTGACTGATTTGATCTCCTTGCAGTTCAAAGGATTCTCAAGAGTCTTCTCTAGCACCACAGTTCGAAAGCATCAATTCTTTGGTGCTCGGTCTTCTTTATGGTCCAACTCTCACATCTGTACATGACTAGTAGAGAAACCATAGCTTTGACTATATGGATCTTTGTTGGCAAAGTGATGTCTCCGCTTTTTAATATGCTGTCTAGGTTTGTCATATGTCTTTCACATGATCAGAAATTCAAAATGTTCAGCAGAGTCTGTCCTCAGACGCCCAGTCCCCATGTGGAAAGTCACCTGTGTCCATGAGCTGCTCAGCCTTGGTTTGCTTGCCTACAGCATCTCAGACCTCCTTTGTTAGCAGCAGTTCAGACATCCCTATTCTTCAGGACTGTAGAGTACTCCAGCTCATAGATGGATTCTGAGTTCTTGTGCATCTATCAGTGGGAAATTGTGGTGTTTGTTTTATTCTACTAACTGAAACACTGCACTGGTAATCTTGTAACTATTGTAATATCCTTTTATATTCTTTCCATTATGCTTTGTCATGGGATATTGAATATAGTGGGCTTCCCTGGTGGCTCAGAATCCACCTGCAATGTGGAAGACCTGGGTTCGATCCTGGGTTGGGAAGAAGCCCTGGAGGAGGGCATGCCAACCCACTCCAGTATTCTTGCCTTGAGAATCTCCATGGACAGAGGAACCTGGCAGGCTATAGTCCCTTGGATCTCAAAGAGTCAAACATGACTGAGCGACTGAGCATACACATGCAGTGATTTTTACAGTGCTTAGATGGATAGACTACCCACTCCAGTATTCTTGGGCTTCCCTGGTGGCTCAGATGGTATGGAATCTGCCTGCAATGTGGGAGACCTGGGTTCAAGCCCTGGATTGGGAAGACCCCTTAAGAAGAGTATGGCAACCCACTCCAGTATTCTTGCCTGGAGAATCCCACAAACAGAAGAATCTGGTTGGCTAGTCCATAGAGTCTCAAAGAGTTGGACACGACTGAAGCAACTTAGCATGTATGCATACCTGCAGCTACATTTATCAATCACATTTGCTTCTCCCACTTTGAGTTTAAAAAAACAAATGCCACTATTCGTCCTGTGGCCTCATTTCTGAAGACCCCCCCACACCCACCCTAACCCCTTCCCTCCAGCCTTACAAGTCTATGTGCTTTTCCCCGATATGCACAGGCCTTGGTCATCTTTGCAAGCTCTGTTCCTCCTTCCTTTAATGCCCTTCCAACCCTTCATCATCATCTTGCCATCCCTGCTTTCCTTTCACACTTGACTGCACATGCTGCCTTCTCCAGGAAGCCCTCCTGGACCTGACAGTAGCATTCACATTGCCTTACTCAGGGGCTCCTGCCACCCAGCGTCACTGCCACCATAAGTAATATGTGGTGTTGTGAGCCCCTGTTCCTGGGCCCGAGCTCCTCACCAGACTGTTTCTAAGAGTGAGCCTCCTTGTTGTTTAGTTGCTATCGCTAAGTCATGTCTTAACTCTTTTGTGACCCCATGGACTTTAGCCCACCAGGCTCCACTCTTCATGGGATTCTCCAGGAAAGAATACTTGAGTGGGTTGCCATTTCCTCCTCCAGGGGATCTTCCCGACCCAGGGATCGAACCCACATCTCCTGTACTGGTTCTTTACCTGGTGGGTTCTTTACCGCTGAGCCACCAGGGAAGCCTGAGCCTCCTTGGAGACAGCTTGTTCAATCAGTAAATTGGCGTCAAGTGAAACCATGAATAAGGGACAAGAGGTTTCAGGGTCAATGTGGGTTCTAAGCGAAGGGCACATGGAATTAACGACAGGGCTGACAGCACTTACGGGTGTCCTGTGTAAGCCAAGAGCCTCCCTGTTTGCTTCGTAGGGGCTGGATCCACGAGGCAGAGCCCGTCCGCGCCCAGACTGAGCACACAGCAGTGACCACGCTCACGCGCTCTCTCTGGATCCCTCTCACAGAGTCTTTGGTTCTCTCAGTGTCTGTGGGCCGCGCCCTCTCAGCCCTTCTCCAGCTATATCTTCCTCTTCCTCCCAGTCTCTGGGTCCCTCTGACCCTCGGTCTCCTTTTCTCTAGCATCCAAAGCCCAGGAGAACGGATCCTCTCTTTCAGTCAGGGAGGGCGAGTCCCTGCGCCTGGTCTGCGTCGTCGACAGCAACCCCCCCGCCAGGATCAGCTGGGCCCGGGGGAGCCTGACCCTGAGCGCCTCGCCGCCCAGCCACCCGGAAGTGCTTGAGCTGCCGCGGGTGCTCATGGGAGACGAAGGGGAGTTCACCTGCCGAGCTCAGCACGCCCTGGGCTCCCAGCATGTCTCTCTGAGGGTCTCGCTGCAGCGTGAGTGTCCGGGGGCTGCCCGCGGTGGCCCACCCCCGCCCACAGGCCCTGAGTGCCCCCCGACGACAACTGCTGGACCGGCAGGTGGCGGGGTGGGGGAGGCGGGCACGTGGGGTCCTCCATCCGGGGGAGCCTGGAAGGCCAGGGTCCGCAGTCCGCCAGGGAGCGGGAGGATGAGGCTGAGGATCAGCGGGTGACCCGGGCCTCGTCCACTCTCCCGCAGGGCGGTCCGCGCGCCCAGCAGACGCGGTCTTGGTGACCATCTGGGAAGCGGCTGTCAAGACCCTGCTCCTCCTCCTCCTCTGTCTCCTGGGCCTCCTGTGAGCACTGCCCCAGGGGAGGAGGCTGAGGGGAGGGCAGGAGGCTGAGAGGAAGGAGGGTGGGCAGGGGCAGCTGAGGATTCCGCTTGGGGACTGGCCTCACCTCCGCCTACTATCAGGGATGGAGGTCCCTGCCGTTCTCCAGGAGGTCTGTGGGGCCAACCGCCCTGTCCCACGGCCACCCCTCCTGTCCTTGAACCACGGCTGGGGGCTGGGTGAGTCCTCATCCCCATTGAATCCCAATCTGAAAAGACTGCAAGAGCCTGGTCTGTCCTGCAGAGTGAGATGCTGCACAAGGACGTCAGCCAAGCCGGCAGGGCGTGTCAGAGACAAAGGAAATCCGCCTTTAACCCCTCAGGTGAGTGATGGGGCACCTCACCACCCAACATCCCAGTGCACACCTCCGCCGGGGTGGCTCCTGGGATTGCTACACTCGGGGCGGCCAAAACTCAGCTGCCGTTTCCCTCCACAAACTCGTTTCTCTACTGGGTTCCCTGCCACACTGATGACAAGGCAGCCCTCATCACTTAGGCCAGAAGCTGCAGGGGTGTGAGAACTGTTAGAAGGTGGGGCTGGGTGAGGGGGTTGGGGCTTGGTTGAAGGGGGACAATGTCCTTTATTCAACCTTCACCCCTTCTACGGATCCAACAAATCACTAAACGCTCCCCGACCTTCCTCCTAAGCACAGCTCATCTTGAAGCCCGTCTCCTCCAGGTCCTGACCCTAGTCTTACCAGCAGCCTCATCTCTTCCCTGAGTCACTGAACCCACCCACCTCCTGCTTCCTCTAGCTGGGAAACACGGCCCTTGGGTCAGAAGATTCACCAGAGATGGTTCCATCCACTTCCCGCACAGTCGGAGCAGCTGTATTTCCTCCCCACGCAGGGGACGGAGGCCACACTGCAGGCTGGATTTGAAGTCCTGGCCGGCTCTTCCCTGCTGACGCTCCACCCAGAGTTTCTGTTTCGGATGATGAAAGCATTCTGGAAATGATGGTTGCACTAACATGGTGATGTTCTTACTGCCACTCAGGTGTAACATGTTGTTATTTAGTTGCTGAGTCATGTCCATTTTCTTCAACACCATGGACTGTAGCTGCCAGGCTTCTCTGTCCATGGGATTCTCCAGGCAAGAATACTGCAGTGGGGACCTTAACAGATCCATCACAAGCAAGGAAATCGAAACTGTAATCAAAAATCTTCCAGCAAACAAAAGCCCAGGACCAGATGGCTTCACAGCTGAATTCTACCAAAAATTTAGAGAAGAGCTAACACCTATTTTACACAAACTCTTCCAGAAAATTGCAGAAGGTAAACTTCCAAACTCATTCTATGAGGCCACCATCACCCTAATTCCAAAACCAGACAAAGATGCCACAAAAAAAGAAAACTACAGGCCAATATCACTGATGAACATAGATGCAAAAATCCTTAACAAAATTCTAGCAAACAGAATCCAACAACATATTAAAAAAATCATACATCATGACCAAGTGGGCTTTATCCCAGGAATGCAAGGATTTTTTAATATCCGCAAATCAATCAGTGTAATACACCACATTAACAAATTGAAAGATAAAAACCATATGATTATCTCAATAGATGCAGAAAAAGCCTTTGACAAAATTCAAAATCCATTTATGATTAAAACTCTCCAGAAAGCAGGAATAGAAGGAACATACCTCATCATCATAAAAGCTATATATGACAAACCCACAGCAAGCATTACCCTCAGTGGTGAAAATTGAAAGCATTTCCCCAGAAACAAGACAAGGGTTCCCACTCTCATCACTGCTATTCAGGATAGTTTTGGAAGTTTTGGCCACAGCAATCAGAGCAGAAAAAGAAGTAAAAGGAATCCAGATAGGAAAATAAGAAGTGAAACTCTCTCTGCAGATGACATGATCCTCTACATAGAAAACCCTAAAGACTCTACCAGAAAATTACTGGAGCTAATCAATGAATATATTAAAGTTGCAGGATATAAAATTAACACACAGAAATCCCTTGCATTCCTATACACTAACAATGAGAAAACAGAAAGAGAAATTAAGGAAACAATACCATTCACCATAGCAACAAAAAGAATAAAATACTTAGGAGTATATCTACCTAAAGAAACAAAAGACATATATGTAGAAAAATATAAAACACTGATGAAAGAAATCAAAGAGGACACAAACAGATGGAGAAATATATCGTGTTCATGGATTGGAAGAATCAATATTGTCAAAATGACTATACTACTCAAAGCAATCTATAAGATTCAATGCAATCCCTATCAAGCTACCAACGGTATTTTCACAGAACTAGAGCAAATAATTTCACAATTTCTATGGAAATACAAAAAACTTCAAGTAGCCAAAGTAATCTTGAGAAAGAAGAATGGAACTGGAGGAATCAACCTGCCTGACTTCAGACTATACTACAAAGCCACAGTCATCAAGACAGTATGGTACTGGCACAAAGACAGAAATATAGATCAGTGGAACAGAATAGAAAGCCCAGAGGTAAATCCACGAACCTATGGACACCTTATATTTGACAAAGGAGGCAAGAATATACAATGGAAAAAAGACAACCTCTTTAACAAGTGGTGCTGGGAAAACTGGTCCACCACTTGTAAAAGAATGAAACTAGAACACTTTCTAACACCATACACAAAAATAAACTCAAAATGGATTAAAGATCTAAATGTAAGGCCAGAAACTCTAAAACTCCTAGAGGAGAACATAGGCAAAACACTCTCTGACATAAATCACAGCAGGATCCTCTATGACCCACCTCCCAGAATATTGGAAATAAAAGGAAAAACAAACAAATGGGACCTAATGAAACTTAAAAGCTTTTGCACAACAAAGGAAACTATAATCAAGGTGAAAAGACAGCCCTCAGATTGGGAGAAAATAATAGCAAACGAAGCAACAGACAAAGGATTAATCTAAAAAATATACAAGCAACTCCTGCAGCTCAATTCCAGAAAAATAAATGACCCAATAAAAAAATGGGCCAAAGAACTAAACAGACATTTCTCCAAAGAAGACATACAGATGGCTACCAAACACATGAAAAGATGCTCAACATCACTCATTATCAGAGAAATGCAAATCAAAACCACAATGAGGTACCATTACACTCCAGTCAGGATGGCTGCTATCCAAAAGTCTACAAGCAATAAATGCTGGAGAGGGTGTGGAGAAAAGGGAACCCTCTTACACTGTTGGTGGGAATGCAAACTAGTACAGCTGCTATGGAGAACAGTGTGGAGATTTCTTAAAACACTGGAAATAGAACTCCCATATGACCCAGCAATCCCACTTCTGGGCATACACACCGAGGAAACCAGATCTGAAAGAGACACGTGCACCCCAATGTTCATCGCAGCACTGTTTATAATAGCCAGGACATGGAAGCAACCTAGATGTCCATCAGCAGACGAATGGATGAGGAAGCTGTGGTACATATACACCATGGAATATTACTCAGCCATTACAAAGAATTCATTTGAATCAGTTCTAATGAGATGGATGAAACTGGAGCCCATTATACAGAGTGAAGTAAGCCAGAAAGATAAAGACCAATACAGTATACTAATGCATATATATGGATTTTAGAAAGATGGTAACGATAACCCTATATGCAAAACAGAAAAAGAGACACAGATGTACAGAACAGACTTTTGGACTCTGTGGGAGAAGGCAAGGGTGGGATGTTTAGAGAGAACAGCATCGAAACATGTATATCATCTAGGGTGAAACAGATCACCAGCCCGGGTTGGATGCATGAGACGGGTGCTCGGGGCTGGTGCGCTGGGAGGACCAGGGGGATCGGGTGGAGAGGGAGGTGGGAGGGGGGATCTGGATGGGGAATACATGTGGGTCCATGGCTGATTCATGTCAATGTATCGCAAAGACCACTGCAATATTGTAAAGTAATTAGCCTCCAACTAATAAAAATAAATGGGGGAAAAATAAATAAATAAAATGCTGCTAAAAAAAAAATACTGCAGTGGGTTGCCATGCCCTCCTTCAGGGGATCTTCCTGACCCAGAGTCTCCTGCTTGGCAGGCAAATTCTTTACCAGTGAGATACCTGGGATTCCCCAAAGTGTCCCCTATGCAGTCTTAAAAATAAATTTTATTCTATGAATATTTTACTGAAATAAAGGGAATGAGGAGCACTTCTGTCATCACGGGCTGTCATTATGTGGACCAGAACTTTTAAAAATATATGAAAAATAAAATTAGTCCACATCAGCTGCTGACATGTTTGGAGGAAAATCACACAAGGAAAGGAGCAGAATCCCAATGGCTGTTAAAACAGAATCAGCCCTAAAGTGTTAGCCTCTCAGTCGTGCCCAGCTCTTTTTGACCCCGTGGGCTGTAGCCTGCCATGCCCCTCTGTCCATAAGGAATCTCCAGGCAAGAATACTGGAGCGGGGTGCCGCTCCCTTCTCCAGGGGATCTTCCCCACCCAGGGAGCGAACCCAGGTCTCCTGCATTGCAAGTGGATTCTTTACTTTCTGAACCACCAGGAGACCCCAGAAAGATTCAGGGCAGCAAGAAAGAGCTGTGGCAAGAGTGCTGGGCACCCCAGGCAGGAAGTGATGCTGCGATGGCCCAGGGAGATCATGTAGACAGGGAACGTATATTTAGATCTATTGTGATCCAGTTTCTTTTCTCTTTAAAAATCTTTACTTATGTATTT